GTACTAAATCGGATGGGAGGTGGGAAAAAGAGCTTTCTTGGGTGCTAAAACGGAAAGGTCGCTAAGGAATGCCGTCCCGCAGCTGCATAATGCCGTATCGCGACTTTTCGCCATTGTTTCCATAACGACCACATGGACAAAATCCGCTATAAATCGGTCATTGTATCGCGACTTTTCCACAGCGAGGCGCCGTCACCTTGCTATGGAATTGCTACTAGGGTGGTAGTGAAGCCTTCAGACGGAGTCACCAGAAGGGCCTAAAACGCGAAATTAAGAGCATTAACACGTAGACCAAAGAAAAAGGTCCAAACTGACAAACGGCGAATGATGATCTAAGATCCAGTCAAACGGTAGAAACGCGTTTGACGCGAGGTGGAAACGACGAAAAACAAAACTATCGAGACCGGTGGGATTGAAAAAGTAACAAAAGCGCATTTAGGGGTGGCAAAGGGCATAAGCTTATTCGAAGGTAGCATTAAAGGACGCATAGTGGCAAAAATAAAAACTAGTATGCACGGCTGGGCGCATATCACACAACCCGACTGCAGAAAAATTGGGTTGGTTTTCATCAGACACAAAAAATCATTTGGGATACTCTGTCGCCCAAAACTCACAGCGAATGAAGACCCTAAGTAAGAAGTCCGCATTTGGAAACCAAAAAACTCCTTCAACGAGGATTTTCTGGTTTCAATGGTCTGCTACGCCCTGCAAGTTGGTTCAAACCGTGAGTCCTATTTTAGCTTGTATTCTACTAAGAGTTTAAGTCAGTTTAAGTCAGTTTATTAAGGGAATGAGGCTTTCGCCCTTGAGCTCCCTATTAATATCGATAAATAGAAATAAAGTCATCAATTACATCAACAAATGCGAAAAGTTAAGAAGTTAGCGGTAAGTGTGAGCTAGGCGCAAACTGCCGCCGCTAAAACAATCATTATTATATGTACAGTAGGTTCTCAACAAATGAGCGTCTAGTCTGCACTTAAAGGATTTGACACTTTCGGAAAGAACGACCGCATCAGGGAGTCCATTCCATGCCCCGATGACCCTGTGAGAGAAGGCGTTCTGTCGGACGTCCGAATGAGCCCGCTTCCTTTGCAGTTTGAACGGATGACTACGCAAACGGTCAGTCCCGGCCATTTAGAAGAATTCATCAACGTCTAGGGCACACTCACGGCTTCTGACAATCCTGTAGATTTGAATGAGATCGCCGCGCAGTTGCCTGGAATTTAGAGGAAACAGATTTATTTCGGTCAGCCTGGTTTCGTAAGGCAAATGAAGAAGATTCTTGACCATCTTCGTAGCCATCGCCTGTACTCTTTCCAGTCGTTGATAATCTTTCTTCAACAGATATTCGGTAAGAGCTAATTTTAGGTATAATTCCTTTGAAAATATGAGTAATTGAGTTCCTCGCATTCCCTTGTAAGCTCTGAGCTCTGTTTTGGAGGCTGCTTCGTGTAAAACACTCGCGCAGCTACCGAAGACCAACAGCCTGGTGGTACATTCCTGTTCAGTACGACAATGCGCAAATAAATTACACGTTACAGGTTCTAAAACGTGGACGCTGGAGATTCTGTTATGCAGCCAATATTGGATGAGTCTCAAGTTGTCACCATCGCGAGAAGCACTCTGTACCCCAACAGAAGGTGTCAAGTTGATACCTGATATTTCCGATACATTTGCCTTAATTTTTTATTGAAAAGCCGGTTGCTCCGTTTTCGAAAGAGCAGGATTTTGCCGGTTTTGTTCTGAAAACTATTATTTTAACCTCGGGGAAGTAACCCGTAGTCATTCGGCAATTTAGTCATTCTCATAATCTTCAGCTACATGATTCTTGCGTCATGATTTTAAACGCGGATGAAAATGAAGTTTTTCCGTCCATTTTCTATGGGATATTTGCGTTCACCTGTGAGAGGAAAATCTATCCCTGTCGATGGATGGGATCACACATTTTTGTTATCCTCAGGCCCTTGGTTGAGCACGACCAGCTTACTTCATTTGACGAATTTCGGCCGGTGAATATCCCTTCAGCAATCTCAAAAATCACAGAGACATCGAACATAGATCAATGCGCGCAACACGGTTTTTAAAATACCATTGACATCTATACTTTTAATTAGGTTCTCGATCACTTACACAGTTTCTCAGTTGAAATCCGAAAAAATTGTGTTTTGGCTCTAATTCATTTGCGCATGCCGTCGTGTATTGTGGATTTATTATAAAACGGAAATATGCTGATACAATTTTTCACCCAACATAGACACAATTATTTTAAGTGTTATCCTTTTATACAAAACGTTATCCACGTAAAATTTAAAAAAAACATATTTTAACGACAAATCATTTCCATTGAAATCTCTTATTGTGGATTTATCTATACTAGTATTGTCGATAATTGTCATCACTTTCACACTACGTAGCCTCACTGTTAAATTCAAATACTACTCACTGTTTTACTCTTTCACCTGTAGCATGGCCAGTTGTCAGAATATTTCACAATTGAGCAAAAATGCATCAATGGCAATCCTGCTGTTTGGTCTACAGCTATTAAAAATTGTACATCATACTTTGCCTCATCCTTATATCCTCACAATTTCCGCGGCTGTCGATACTATTAATCAGTATTAAACTCTTGTTTCATTCTCTCCAACATGAAACTACAGGAGACCCTTCATCGAAATTTGAAGGACACGAAATTGTACGCTTTTAATTTGAAAGCCATCAACTATTTGAAAAAATAGACTTCGGGACGCTCGAACATTTACACAATTTTATGTCCCGGTATGGGTCATTTTCTTCTGTTCTTGGTGCCCTTCTTGGAGAGAAACTGCCAAAAATTATAGCTTCTACCCTCGCCCACTAGCCTCTAACTTTCTTCTAGAATCCCTCCTCCACTTCGCCCTCGCCCTCTTCCTCGTTCTCCTCCTCCTCCTCCTCCTCCTCCTCCTTCACAATTCAACTACCGACGGGCCTATTCCTGTTCGAATTCCCCTAGCATTCCCATGTTCGCAAATTGTATCCCCACATCCTTTATGTATCTCTCGCAGCATTCTCTTGCTGACTCCCCCTACGTCAATAACCCCAGATTAACTGGTACCTATTCCTCAAGCATCATTAATTCACAGCCTACGTATCCGCCTCTAAATTTTTTTCTAAATACCGTCGACAATAGCTTTGCTGTTCGAAACACATTTAAGATTATTTTATTGAATGCCAGGTCTGTTATAAACAAGATGGCCCAAATCAGAGTCAGTGCTCTGGAAATGGCGCCTGGCATTATATGTGCAACAGAATCTTGGACCCATTCTCTAATTCTTGACTCTGCCCTTCCCATAGATGACTTCAATTTTTACCGTCAAGACCGCACGACTAGGCGTGGGGGACGGTTATCTTCTGTGTCTTAGATCCTACCTAAACACACTCCCGTTTACCTGGATGTCTCCTCATTCACGAGAAACTTCTGCTTTGCATCTGTTATTTTCTCGCCGCAAAGAAAGGCATTTATTGGCTGTAGCTACTTCCCCCCAATTCTTCAGCTAGTGATGATTCACAACTCTGTGAAATATTTAAATTAATTTCGGAAGTTGCTTTCGATTTTAAAATAATCACTGGGGATTTTAACCTTCCCCAAATCGACTGGGTTTCCAATATCTGTCAACCTAGATTCCAGCCCTTTCAAGATATTGTTAATTTTTCTAACTGGTCTGAACTGGTGTGCTCTACAACAAGTGATAATCACTTTTTAGATCTAATCTTCACCAATGACATTGCTCCTCTTTCTGTTCCTTTAAAAAAGGACCACTTTGATAGTGACCACGTATTGTTGCTAACCGCTTATCCTTTTAAAAATGATCAGCATCGTTCGGACTTGACTTAACTACGATTGCGAAGATAATGACTTAATAAATAACTATTTTAGATCATTGGATTTGTGTAGCTTCCTCTCCTGTATCGACGCTACCATTCTTCTTGATGTCAGTTTATTCAGTTTATTTGGTAAGGATAATAGGCAAAGCCTTTGAAAACCCTATTGATTGCATGTCAGCTCGTTAGAATAACTGTACACGAACAAAAAATGTTCACTATTAAAACAGTACTTGGTTCATTTGAGTAGCATTGTCTCAGAGAAAATATTTGTCTGGACCAGGAGTATTAGTTCAGATTCAGACCGTCGAGGGAAAACAGGGGACACAAATAATCATCCAAGCGTTTCTTGAAGAGTTGCAGGGATGTAGCCTCCACGACTGACTGAGGGAGATCGTTCCATTTCTCCACTACCCTCTGCGTGAAAAATTCAGAACGGAGATTCAGCCTGGACATTGTTGTCCGTAACTTCATCGAGTGACCACGAAGATTGGGTGAAAGGTGCCACTGAAACATGTCCTCAAATTTAAGTCCATACTCAAGGCCATGTATTACCTTGTAGACGAGGATAAGATCACCTCTTTGCTGCCTGTAACACAGAGGGAACAAATTAAGGCAATTCAGTCTGTCTGTGTAGGAATGGCTTTTTAGACCGTTTACCAGCTTTGTTGCACGCCGTTGTACCCGTTCGAGGCATTCTTGGTCCTTTACCAGCCATGGCCGCCATGCTTGTATGCCATATTCTAAGTGGGGCCGAACAAATGTGCTGTAAACTCTCCCAAAAAGGTCTTGGTCAAAGTTTACGAAAGCCCTTTTTATTGCATGCAGCACTCCCATGGCGTTTTTTGCAGCCTTGTGGCACTGCAGTGTTGGTTTCAGGTTGTTCTGTATCCAAACCCCGAGATCCTTCTGTGAAGATTCTGCGGGGAGCCTTATATCTTTCAGGTGATAAGTCCTCAGACTCTCATTTGAATGAGAGTTGGTTGGACGCAGATGAAGGACGGCACACTTCTCCACATTGAAATCTAGAAGCCATTTCTTCGACCACGCTTGCAGTCGGTGCAGATTATCTTGAAGGGATCTATGATCATTCGGACCCTTAATGACTTGCCAGAGCTTAACGTCGTCTGCAAACATTATTTTGCCGCAGTCGAGTTCCTGAAGGCTGTCGTTAACGTAAAGGATGAAGAGCAATGGTCCCAGAACTGAGCCTTGCGGCACACCACTGGTCACATTCACCCATTCTGACATATCATCCCCGATACAGACACGTTATTTCCGACCAACCAGAAATGCCCTAATCCAGTTCAGAAGATCTCCCCGGATGCCAATGTCGCTCAATTTGTGAAGAAGACGTTGGTGTGGGACAGTGTCAAAAGCTTTGCGGAAATCGATGTACACGACATCGACCTCAAAACCCTCTTCTAGAGCCCTGGTCCAGATTTCCAGACAAGCTAGCAGATTTGAGAGGCAGGAACGTCCTCTCCTGAAGCCATGTTGAAAATCCTGTAAGATGTTATTTTCTTCACAAAATTGCTGTATAGCGTTCTTTACTATAGCTTCCATCGTTTTGCAAGGGAGGCAAGTTAAGCTAATAGGTCGAAAGCTGCTTGCTGTCATCTTGCTACCTCCCTTATGCAATGGAACGAGGTTAGCTGTCTTCCACTGTGAGGGCAGCATTCCTGTTCTCATTGACAGCTCAAAGAGAGTCGAAAGAGGCTTTGACAGCTCCCTTGATAGCTCCTTAAGTATCAGCCCGGGAATTCCGTCGGGTCCAGGAGACTTATCAGGTTTTATTTGACTGAGGACTCGTCTGACTTCTTCGACGGAAAAGGCGACGGTTTCAATGACGGCAATATCTTGGCGCATTTGAAGCTCCCGGCTGTCTCGGTCCATTTCAAACTGCTGATTGTCTTCTATGGACCCTTCCGTAAAAACCGATTGAAAAAACTGAGACAGTAATCGCACTTTCTGTGAACCTTCAACTAATAAGTTTCCGAGGCTATCCTTTAGACACGCAATTTCGTCCCTATGTTTCCTCCTACTGCGGATGTAACCGTAAAACTTCTTAGGACATGTAATGGATTCTGCTATCAGTCGACGCTCGAAAGAAGTTCTAGCAACCCGTATTTCTTTGCGGCATTTATTGCGCTGATCCTTATATTCGGCGAGTGACCTTGGATCTCGAAGTTGCAAATACTTCTTCCAGAGTCTCTGTTTCTTCTTCATGGTCTTTTTTGTCGTCGGATTGACCCACGGCGGTCGCGTACATGGTCTTGTTATTTTTATTGGACAATGGGAATCAATCAGACGTTCTATAATCGCGCGAAAGTACTGCCAAAATTCGTCTGAATCTTCTGTGTTGACCAACCAGGTTTCCTCCAAAAGAGTGCGTCTCATTGCCTTAAAGTCACCCTTCCAAATATTTCTGCGACTCTTGATTTTTGGTTGTTGGTTGGATAGGAGAGAGCACACGCAGGTAAAAGCAATATGATCGCTTAAACCGAGTGGAGGTTGTGGATTCACTTCCTTTATGAGTCCTTCTTCTTGACTGAAAACGAGATCTAAACAGTTAGATCGTTGTCCTTCTCTCATTCTTGTTCCGAATTTTATGTGCTGAATGAGGTATTCATTCAGGGAGAGTTGAAGTAGCTTGTGGTCAAATGACGTGGACGGGGCGTTTGTTAGGGGAATGTTCCAGTCTATTCCTGGAGCGTTGAAGTCACCCAGAAGTAGTAAGTTCTCCTGCTTACATAACAACTCCAGTGCACTAAGTAATTCCATATCGGCGAATTCATTCGAGCTGGGAGGCCGATAGACAACACACAGGTTCAGTGTCGGTAATTGTTTGATGCATATCTTGCATGAAATTATTTCAAAATTTCGGGGCGCAACGTCGGATATTTCTCGTTGACAGCACACAATTTCATTTGACACATAAATAGCTGTGCCTCCACCTCTACGGTGAAATCTGTCACAACGGAACAGTTGGTAGCCTTCAATTCTGACTTCGCTACTACTAATTTCCTCAGTCAACCATGTCTCTGTTAGGACAATTATGTGTGGCTTCTGTTCAGAGACTAGTAATCTGAGTTCATCTAGCTTGTTGAGAAGACTCTGACAGTTAGTGTAATAGATTTCTAGACAGCGGCCACTGGTTCGAGCAGCCTCAGGAGTTGGCACGTTTGCATCGGTTAGGCTGTCAGAATGACGGCCTTCGGCCAGAGAAATGTCCTTTGGACCTGAATTATTTGTCCATTCTTGATTTTTAGGTGTGTTTCGCCACTGTTTCTCCGCTTTTCCAGCTCCGTCATCAGCTCTCTCATTTTCATTCGCTCTTTTGGCTCGTAATCCGGCTGAAAAAAAACTTCAGGATGCTGACCCCGTAGAGATGATTTTCTCTGTAACAGAAGCTGGGCCTGTGCTTCAGTCTCCAAAATGACTTTTAGGGGTCGAGGCCGGGAATTGGAACCGGATGCTGACTGACTCTTCCCTATTCGGAATGCTTTGAGAACACTTAGTGACTCATCGTCTCTTAACAAAATTTTCGCATACACTTGAAGAAGGTCTAAGTCATGCTTATCTCTCTCCTTTGGAACTGCTGCCGTTGATTCGGGTACTCCTTTTATAACTACATTTTGCTGGCGACTGAACCTAGTGCTCGTTGTTGTCACACATCTTTTGAGTGACTGAGCGTTCATCTCCAGTTTACTAGTTTCGCTGGTTTCAGATGAACTAGCTATTGGGCTAGCGAAACTGAGATCCGTGTACGATTCATTTATCTTCCTGTTGATAACCCTTCCTTCTGTGTTTCCGAGGTGTTCGTCGAAAAATTTTACCTCAGTTTCTTTCAAAACCTCCTCCTGAATATTCGGTCCACAAGGTGTTCCGATATCTTTATTGTTTAACATATTTGAAAGCCTCTGGCGGTCCTTCGTAGGCCTCCTGGTCGTTCTCCTTCGCTGGTCTGCGTGTACGTAGGCGGCCTCCGTTTTTTTGGATCGTACAGAGGTGCGCGTTGTTTTTCTGGAATGTTTCTTTGTTATCTGAGTTCGCTTTGGCTGGTCTTTTTCTCGCCTGAGAGACTGGCATTCAACTGTGTCTAGTTCCCTGGACGAACATTCGTCAGTTTCAGCGTTTGATATGGCTAAAGAAGCCGTGGTTGCATATGTTTTTTTCGGATTCTGAATTGCCGAATTCGTCGGCTTCTTCTCTTCACGTAAGTGGTGAGTAAGCTGCCTTAACTTTTCTACCTCCATTTTTAGACCTTTTAACTCCCCCTCCATTTTTGAAAACTTATGGATGAGTCCAAAACATGTGGTACAGATTTCATCGTCGTATGTGACATCCCCCAACGTCGCTAGACTTTTTGCGCGTTTTACGGGCATTGGTCTGACAGCAGAACGTCCAACACTACAGTCATTAATATCATGCGTAATAGAATATGTATTATTATTTTTAACGACGTTGGCGCGAGTCAGTGGCCTAGTGGTAACGTCGGTTGTCTGTCCGACCGATGGACCGGGTTCAAATTCTGCCTTGGGCATGCATTTTACACCGTGTTTTGAGGGCATTTCTCTGAATAACACTACCGAGTTTACAAGTTTCAAACGGTTTTCTTAAAGGTATGACACGAATTTTCAACCAGATCGAGGATATGAGGTAAACGACTCAGCCTTTCGTAGGTTTTGGGGATTCCTCCGTGCTGTTGCAGAGAGGCGACTGGACGAAGATAGGTTATCCCTCACAAGTTCTGGTGTGGTCGGAAGGAGATAGGTTTTCCGAACGAGACCCCCGTTGAAATTCTGTGAGAATCGAGATATTGCTATGAAGAATCGACTTGTAAATTCCGAGAGGCCGTCAGGGTGTCCAGGACTCAGGAGACTCGAAAAAGTTAAATCCCTCGGAGGTCGAAAATTTCAAACCGAATTCAAAAGACGCGGTCACTTCCTTTTGCATGTCCAATGTTTCCGAGGACATTCTAGAGTTTTGCCGTGTAGATATCTCAAGCCTTATTCATCAGATTCCCTTGTTCCCCTTGTCAATCTTATAGTCCAGGCCCTGATGGTGTCCCTGTAAGCATTTTAAAAGCCGATGCAAACACGATTTTCCCATCCCTCTTATGCAAGATATTTAATCTCGCTCTTGAAAGTGAAACTTATCCTACATTGTGGAAGGAATCACACATTTTGCCCATTCCTAAGCACGGCAAATCTACATCATTTGATGACTTTCGGCCAATAAACACCCTCCCTGCAGTTTCGAAGATCTTAGAGACATTGATCAAGGATAAGATGATGTGTCACTTAACAGCGAACAACTTACTGAGTGTTGCTCAGCATGGATTCCTCAAAGCTCGATCTTGTGACACCTGTCAACTCTCTTTCTTTGACTATGTTCTCCAATCTAGGGACCATGGTTTTGCTCTTTACACAGTATATTTCGATTTCACTAAGGCTTTTGACCGTGTTGACCATGCTCTTCTCCTCTTGAAATTGTCCTCTTTCGGAATAGGTGGCAAACTTTTGAATTTTATATCCTCTTACCTGGGCACTCGCACACAACGAGTTAAGATTTCCAATACCATCTCCAAACCCACACGTGTGAGGAGTGGAGTCATTCAGGGAAGTGTACTCGGCCCGCTTTTATTTTGCCTTTTCGTTAATGATGTACCCGATTTATTTCAGAATGGTAGGCCTTTCATGTATGCCGATGATCTTAAAGTTGCATATCGATATAAGCCGGCAGATCATGACATCGTGCATGAGCTCCTAAAGAGCGATTTACAGGCTTTCGCCCAGTGGTGCCGCACATGGCGCCTTTTTCTTTCTTGGCATAAGTGCTCAGTCATGGTGGTTGGCGACGACCGCCAACCTCAACTAAATATTGAAGGTCACTCCATAAATGTGCCCAGGGTTATTAAGGATCTTGGCATATCATACTTCAAGAGTCTCAATCTCTCGGAGCACTGTGCCTTGATAGTCTCCAAAGCACGTAGAACGACTGGGTTTATCCTCCGAAATTTTAAAACTAGGGACATTAGAATGCGCCTTTTCAACATGTACGTTAGACCTTGCCTGGAATACTGTTCGTTTTCTTTTAGCCTCATGCGTGCTACTGAGCGGAAGAAAATAGAATCCGTTCAACACTTTTTTACCAAGAGAATTTAACCCCCGAACACCGACATTTGTCTTACCAAGGACGTTGCCGGCTTACAGGCCTTGATCCTTTATGGTTCCGTAGATTACAAAAGGGACTATTTTTGCTATTTAAACTCTTATATAATCACACATTTAACCCACTCACTTCTTTAAGACATCATATCAACCCACGACGTAACAATCACCGTGAGGTCTTCTTATTTCTGCCTCTGGCACGTACTGTTAAATATCGTCGGTTCTATTCTGTAAAGGCAATTGCTATTTGGAATAAACTGCCAATTAATGTGAAGACTCTGCAAAATTATCCTTTATTTAAGAGAACTATTACTCGATTTTTGCATTCAGAAAAGCTCCCACAAATTTTGGGTGCCGAAAACTCTGATCGGCTGTACCGTAGCGATGGCGTTTGTGGTCTCTGAACACTGGCCGGTCTCGCCAGCTGTTACTCAACGCCTCTACTTTGGCTATCCCCAGCTTCATTAAAGGAATTTGACGTCCGAAAATCTCCGATACCGTGCAACCTCCCCCCTTCTTGACGGTCGATATTCTAACACCGCCGACAGTTTTTTCTCCTGAGCCCTCCAAACCATAAAAACCACCATCAACTATATTTTTATTCCTTTAGCTCAGGAGTTTTTTTCACTGCCGGTCGGATTTATGTTTAATCGCTTCCCTTGACAATGCCTGTAAACTGGCATTAAATAAAAATTTATTTATTTATTATCTTCACAACCAACTTAAAAAACTGAGACCGCAGCTGCGTGGCCTATCCACTAGTTCCTTATCAGTTCACCTTAGAATCACAGAGATTTTTGAAATGGCCTCATGGATGGGCCAAACGCGCGACAGGCAAAGATAACCACTTGCTCTCAGTGATTCGAACCCTGGCAAATCCGTCGCCAACATCTTCCGTCATCGGTCCTACTCTGAGCGTGATCACAAACTTCCACCCCTGCTAAATGATAACAAAGTCTTCCACATCGATCACAATGACAAGGCGGAGTTGTTTAGCGCTTACTTTGCAAAACACCTTAATACTGATTCCGAACCGGTCCCTTTCTTTCGCTCACTTTCAGATAGGTCATTGAGTACAATCGATGTCGTCTTAGGTTTCATTATGAAAAACATAAGTCGTTTGAGAAACTCACGCTGCTCGGGAACGGATGGGGCTTCAAATTCGCGTATTAAACACGTATCCGGTCTTCCCATGTTATTTAGTCCCTTATTTCAGGTTTGTATTTCAAACGGATTTGTCCTGAAAAATCGGAGATGCCAAGTATAATTCCCGTCTTCAAGTCTGGATATCGGTGTGATGTTATTAATTATCGGGGCAGCACAAAACACCGTCTCTAGCAAAGCTACTTGAAAGGGTAATTTTAAATGAAATTCTTGACTTCTGCCTAGCTAACCAGCCTCTGAGCTCTAATCAACATGGACTTTTACCCGAAAGATCCTGGGAAACTTGCCACTTGGAATTTCTTCATCTAATAACTTCTCTTCGTAAGGAACAGCAGCCAGTGGTAGTTATCAACATTGATCTTAGCAAAGCCTTCGACAAGGTGCGACATAGAGGCCGTTAGGTAAAATTGGAAGCTCTCCACATCCGGTCGCGTCTACTCGACCTCACCGGGTCCTACCAATCCAACCGTTATCAGAAAGTCAGAGTTGGCAACAGCTGCTCAACACCTCAGTTGATTGCGTGCGACGCACTCTAAGGTATGCTTCTGTGTCCGCTAATCTTCCTTCATTACATCAGTGACATTTCGACTGAACTCAAAAATTTACAAATTTCTCTTTATGCCGATGACCTCAAGTGTGTGTACTCAGATTCCGGTGACACCGCAAATGTTTGTGTTGGATAAATTAATGCCGATCCACTACGTTTAGGCAGATGGAGTTTAGCGTGGCATATGGGGTTTTTATCATCAAGGCGTCATAATAATAATAATACTAATAATAATAATAACAATAATAATAATTTTTATTCAAGCCCCGTGGGAGTCCTATCATAGCAAGTAAAAATAACTTTTACATTAATTTTAGAATTTAAGCCAGTGCCGCCTGTGTGGCTGCAGCCAACCCGCATGTCACCGTGACCTGAATCGCCCCCGTAGGCCGCGGAAATGACTGACGGCCCCGCTTGTCCGCGCCGTGACTGTCTCCCGTTAAGAAGGTGCGAAAAGTCAGGGGGAAGTAAATTAATGTGGCGGTTGACAGAGCAGTCGGTGGACATCCAGTCTTATTGCGCTTGCCTTGCTGTATGATCATCGCCCCGGCCCACAATCTCAACGCCGACAAAGTTGAATATGTGTCCCATTTGCGCGGCATGGGTTGCTACCTCCGACTTTGGGTTTAACCTTCGTCCGGCTAACTTATGTTCGTGCATTCGCTTTTGCAGCCGTCGGCCGGTTTCCCCAAAGTAGTCGCACGTTCCGCAGTCGCGCTGAAGTCGGTAGACAACAGCCGACATCTCCTGCTTGGGAATCGGGTCTTTTGTCCGCCTCACCTACCGGCGGATTGTTGAGTCAGGCCTGTGGGTATCACCTATTCCGAGTGGCACGAGGGATCTAACCACGGCTACGGAGACTACTTTAATGTACGGCTGCGTCATCACGTGTTTGACTGACTATGCTCTTCATTCCTTCTCTTTGGGTGCTTTCTGCTCCGTTCAATGAATGCCCGCGGTTTGCCGTTGGAGGAGCATTATCTCGTCCAGTTTGGCGGCTGGCGTGCTGCAATGAGTTTAAACCCGTCGGTATAACGCGCGTTCACAGCTTATTTTGTGTTGTAGCGGGTGATTGTTGTTGTATCTGAGCCACCGACATCGCAAGGTTGCCATTTCATTGGCAGCAGACGAGAACATCCGAGAGTGGGAGTTTGTTACCTACCTCCATTTCCATCGTGATCTATAGATCGGGAATGACTGAATTGAGTAATTCCGCATAGTAGTTAATTTTATACCGGCCGATGATTACAAAGGTGCCATCAACGCAGCATGCCCAAAACTTGGGCATGTACTTCTCGAATAGTCGTCTCTCGGGTTTTTGTAGAACCGCCTACGCAATGAGTACGGAGATTGATGAACCCATTGGAGTGCCCTTGATTTGACCGCATGTTATCACTTCGAAAGTAAAGAATGTCTTCAGGCAGTGTCCTATGAGTTCTATGAGATCCTGATCTGTGGTCTGGCCATCGCCCCGTCGTAATTTTGACGTAGTTGGTCACTGGGCGTTTTGAACCACAAGAGGCTGTGATATGGACGTGAAGAGTGAGATGATGTCAAAATACACCATCCTCTCATTCAGTTTGATCGTGGCTGCCCATATTTTGTCGTCCTCATTGTTTCTTTCCAATCGGTGTTTCGTCAACCCGGCGCCACAGACGAGGCAAAGGACCTCCTTCGACACCAAGTCTCCCCACCTCTAAGGTCGCACCGTAGAACCCCTTTCCTGCTAAGAGATAAACGAAATGCCCTAAGGAAGCTGAAGGTGGATACCGAAAAAGGTACTATGCCTGCTGACAAATGCCGGTCAACCGTTATCCTTGACGAGGTAGACTACCGACACAAAGCCCTCATGCTCCTCAACGATCGGGACTCCTAAAAAGTCAGCGAAAAAGTAGTAAATCTTTAACGACTTTCCACTTCGGGTTTTCAGCCAACGCTGTTGTGTCGCCCCACCCGCTAATAAATTACAAGCAGTCCGGGAGCTTTGTTTGGTTGATCTGGAACGCTTGTCCTGATTCGAAAACTGAGGAATGACTGCTGAAGAAATATTTATATCAAAATTGACTCAAACTTTAATTTCTCTAGTTTCAGTGAGCGACAGAGACTGGGAAACGTGTAGGTGTAGACCGTTCTGCAAACATATAGGCAGTTCTCCGATATACCGTAGAAGATGGTGAAAAACTTAACGATAAAAATCAACTCGGCCTTCTCGAAAAAGATAAAAGAAATTTGCCTGATCACCCTGAATTACCTAAAACAGTCACTTTTTCTGAGCATGTGGAGATTACTGATATTTCACCTCCGAGGAGTGTACAAAGAGAGAGTTCACCTATTTATATCACACAAAGCAACGATGAGTATGGTATCCCAACAAGCAACTCTGATAACATACATAATGCAAGTCAATTAAAATATTTTCGCTTTGCATACGGAGACCTTTACTTGATATGTAACTCTTACAACAATCAGAAATTTAATGAATCCTGTGACCAACTGTTATTAATTATTGGTCCCATCTTAAATTAATTGACATATGTCGTTCGTAATTTCCCCAGTTCTAAGAGTAAGCATGCCCGACGTTATAGCAAAGTACACACTGTTAAGAAGCAAATAAAGTCAGGGCTGTGTAAAGCCCTTTTAGTTAAAATAAGAAAAGAAAAGAATCTGCTGACCGAAGATAAGGACTTCAAATTGAAGCAGAATGACGTTGGAATTTATGTACAAATGTGTGGTTGCCGCCTAAAATTCAATAAAGCAACTAGCTCTATCGTGTTACTGCCAGTCTTTTAGAACTGAAGGAATGAGGCTTTGTACGAATACTTGCTAATGAAAAAATCCATTTGTGGTGGGAAAGAAGAAAAAAGGAAACGAAAGGCGAGATGTTTTAGTAATTCTAAATGAGGAAGGAGTTGGTGGTGATGCCGAATGTTCGTTCAAACAGGTGCTGTGTTGGTCACATATACTGACAGTTTTAATGATCAGCCATATAATAAAGATGTTGACACCGGTTATAAGAAGATATACTTTCCACAAATCCAACAACAATATTGCTTGTTGGCAAACGTTTCCTGTGCAAAAGCGACGAACACTGGCACATGCCTCCCGTTGTTGTTTACTTAAAAAAGAAGGCATAACGGGCATAATCATTAGAAAAATGTAAGTACTTCTGCATGCCGAATTAGAAATATAAAATAGGTTTTGTAAATTCAAATGCCATAAAACGGCTAACTAAATTTCAGTTCGTGTAATAGTAATGGCTTTCTGCTACAGTATTGTGAGATAATGAATGCCAGTGGCAGAAAAACTTTGAAACATTACAATTGTATTTTACGAAAAAGTTCTAAACAACGGAGTAAAGTGCTTTGTCACTGTTTTTATTAGCAAAAATAGTCACCCTGGATAAATTCTCTGATAGAAAGCACCCCACAATAGCCCATCTATCTTTTGGTGGTTGGTTGGGCTGATGTGCCAGTTTGTTTGACATAGACAGCTAAAATAAACCAGTTTTGCTTATTCTTAAGACTGTTTTAAGCGTGTGCTTATAGTTTTCCATTTGTTTGTCGCTGAAAAACCCCCAAAACCTTAATGTCGAATTATAAAACCAGAAGAAATACGGGATGCAAAATAATATAGATCTAACGGAAGATTATGCCAAAAATGCCAAGTACGTAGTAAGATCCAGTTTAGCGAACACAAGTTGCGTTTATTTCTATTTTTTAAATACAAAAAGTACTTGGATTTTATATGGGGTCTAATAAAAAAGTTATTGCCTGTAGGCGCATGCTAGTTTGCCCTCATAATTGAGTACTATTACGTCCTACCCTCTGTTAAGCTCGTTTACGAGGTGTTAGTGCCACCAAGATATTCTAATCAGTTGGCGTGCATCGTATAAAAACGGCTTGAAAACAATTTAGATTTTTACCAAATGTGCTTACTATGTTATTTGACTAATAGATAAACTATCGGGCACCAGACCTAAAGAACAGATAACCATACTTTTGTATGAGCTTGTCAACTTAAGTAAGAGTTTCTACTCGACACAACATTCGAGTGCTTAAATCGCTGTTTGATGTAATGTTTAACATAACGTGTGCTTTAAGCGTGAGTGTCTACTGGAGTATTCGCATAGTCCATTCTAACAAACTCTTGCTCATTTAAAGGTCATAATATTTATCCGAACACACGTACTTATGAATTAGTCTAAGCGATACAGTGACCTACTTGTAAATATGCTTGCCTTTTCACAGGCACAGTTTTTAATTTGGGTTACGTTGTTTGCGTTCATTGAAAAAGTTTTACTGATGGAGATAGATGAATACAACATCGGTCTGAGGGTATTTTCTCCGTTTAAAAACAATGCCAGTACAGTGTTTTGCATTGCTATGTTCAATGTAAACTGTCATGAGGTTTACCTCTATTTAAATACCAAACGTTCAGAATACTTGGCCAGGGTAGTATATGAGGAAGACAATATCAAAATCCATTTTTTCTTTTAAAACCTTTCAGATGAGAAGGAGAGTAAACACAACGTACTATTACAAAGTAGATAAAAACTCACTAAGGTTACGTGCCGCTAATTCAAGAACATATGCGTCATCAGACTCAGTCTAGTAAGGTTATTTTCTAGTCATTATGAAGCCTAAAACAAAGCACCTTTTATTTTTTCCACAGACAGTTACAAATTTTCTCCGGTGTGTATGGCATGCTAAGGGATTTAAGTGACGATTGGCCGCAAATACATCATATACTCTCGTAACTATGGATGTTTTGCAGGATTAGCATGTAGTCGACCTTTTAAAATACAAAGTCGGGAGCCAAATCCTTGCAAGAATAGAAGAAAATTAGCAAAAAACCATTTGCCTCAAAAGGGCCTGGGCGCTTTTTTTCACTGTTTTGGTTGGCTTTCGAAAATTCAATTAAACAGTTTGGAATAAATTAGCGCATGTGAATCCTAGGCAACCATCCTTGCACTTTACCGTTAAGCAACTCCATGCTCACTACGTTATGCAATGTGTCTTAAATCACGATCTGTGAATATCATTATGCATCTCATAATAGAAAGCACAAACATTGCAAACGGCATAGCAAATAATTATTTTAAAATGTTAGACATTATTAAGAAGGGTATTCTGAAGTAACCCCATAAATCTGAAAACTCGGTCGTTCTCAAGTGACTGTGACAAGTATGTAAAGGTTATCTGCTATTTTCGATTGAATTTAACGTATCAATACGAACTGACTTGGTCCTTTTTTGGTCCCAAGTCCTCCAGAAGTTTCATCTTTATCACGCTGGAATAAGTTCATAAGCCAACTTTAGAAATCGCCCTCTGGGGTGTGTAAGTCAATTACAGAAGTCTAAGAAAATATATAAAGGCAATCTAATTTTGACGAAGTGTTGGAATAGTTGAGCATTTTCCGCTCAAAATAGCCGTGTTTTTATACGCTAAGCATAAGAAAGACGCCACCCCAATAATTATTACAGAGAATGGTGGATTATACAGATGCGCTACGGAACTCACTTTTCCCCTGGCGCCTGGGGCTCTCTCTCGAGTCCGCAGAGAGGCGTGTAATCTAGGCAGAATGGCGTTACCGACGGTGACAAGATGGTCTCGTATGACCAATTCGGGCTTGTTAGTCTTCGTCAGCCAGCTATACCCAAGCCTGAGTTGTACGATACCTGGGGCGCGGTCCCAAGACTTTTTGGTTAGAAGTTCAACGTCTCTAACCACTGAGCCACGGGCTTGTTATTTTTTCGGTTGCGACCGGGTATCTACTAGGGTAAAGAAGCACTCACAGATAGCGCCTCGATCTCAGTCGCCCCATTGTGAGCGTCCCGCTACAACTGTATATACTCGATCGCAACCGACAGGACAGCAAGCCCGTGGCTCAGTGGGTAGAGTCGCTGGACTTCTAACCAAAAGGTCGCGGAATCGCGCCCCAGGTGTTGTACACCTCGGGTTTCGGTATGGCTGGCTGGCGAAGACTAGCCAGCCAGAAGTGTCCATTTCAATCTCCCTTGTCTTCGTCGGTAATTACAATGCTGAGTTTATCAGCTCTTTTCGGAAAAAACTCTGTCAATCTGAAATCAATGTGATGAATGGTAGAATATTCTCTATTTTGATTTTCACAGCTTGTTCGAAAGTCCGTCAGTTGAAGAAAACGTATTGTAAGGTACGAGTAGACCTAAGATTACGTGAGTTGCTCACCACTAGTGCGGATTCCTTTGTAGACTATTTTCTGCTGGTTGGGTATCTTTGGAGCTCAGTAAAATTCTCCCAGTTTCCTCGCTGCAGTTTGCTTGTTTGACTCGTTCGGTGTTTCTTTTGGACTAAATGCCTGCATTTTAATTTCTTTAGTTAAGTGACCAGGAAAACCTCAGAACTTTTCCTGGCCAGTCAATATGTTCCGATGAAATATACCCAGAATATGCGAAAGCTGGTCCCCTTTTCGCCGGCATCTGTCTACCGGAGCTTCTGAAGGTAAAGAAGTCAAAGTAATACGTAAATACTTGCGGTATGCAATTTTATGCCTAATGCCTATTCAATTTCGACAATTCTCCTCAGCTTAGGTTGTAAAGAAGGCAAACAAAATATGCGACTGTTATTTAATTTAGTCGTCGGTTAAAATGAGGTTCAAAGCATTTTGTAAGTGTGCCCAGTCACCCCGTCATTAGTAACCATCAGATAATTTAGATGTAAACATCCCATACAAGATCAAAATCTAACATTAAAATGCAGGAAGCAATTTTGACTTGGGCACTTTTAAGATTTACGTCGAATACTAACTTTGACAGATGTTGTTATATTACGTTTTCATAGATTTTTTGGGAGATTTTGAATGATTCATATTGACCCAACTGTGAAAAACTCGGCACCTCAGTGGGATTCGAACCTACGCATTAAGGGGAAGGCTTTAGTATAGCCAACGCTTTGATCACTTGAGCTACGAGGCCCTGCCGGACGACGCGAATTTAATCACATTTGGGTCAAGTTTCACGCCCAACCTATGTTTTTTGACGAGTTTAGTATGTTACTGTCGTAAAAGCGTCACACGTCTGCGAAGTTTTGACAGAATTCAATCGTAATATTGTCTTCAAAACCATTACGTAGTAAGTATCCCAGCACGTTGTTTGGCGCTCCCCTAAACGTGAAGAATTTCTTCTCCGACGCACGCGAAAGGTGAGTTCCGGGAAAAAGTTAAATAGCTGACAACTCTGTCGCTTGAAAAGCTTTTTGCGCTAATTTTCAAATTCTTGGGCTCATCCTCAGAGACAGCAGCGGTCCGATGTGCCCGATGATTTGAACCTTACCAAGCTAGACCGCATGGCCCTGTCCCCTCGAATGAATTTGGATTTGTTATCTAACATCATTCTTCCCACTGCCGATCCCGTTTCGTCCACTCGAGCATGAAGTTATCTTCCTGTTTCTCTCGCGAATTTGCTTTGTTCGCAACTGTACCAGATCGATTAAACGATTCTGGACGTTTGTCGACGCAATATATGAATGTTTTGCGACCGCCATCATATTTCAGGAACGTTTTGGATGCCCTCAAGCAATTGCCAAGGCCCTCTGCCCCTAGAGGAAAACCTGGGGTATCAACTGGAGGCAGACGGGTCTTTTGCCACAACAACGACGCCTTGAAGTCATTTACCGAAGGTGCCGCGGATGTGAACAAAAAAACTATGTAAGATAGACGGGGAGGCAACTATGGGCATGGATGTTCGAAAACGTATCAGTGTTTAAGAGGAATAACGCACGTATTCAAGTCGTGACCCGGCCACGCGTTCAGGTCCGTCGGGGCGGAAGTCGTCAACAAAGGTGCTTGTTGCGTGGATCGCCGGCTGTTCGAATCTTGGTTTCCCGGCCGGCAGTTCATTGACGAACCCAATGATCTGCCACCACCGCTCACCAGTTAGTGCCAAGAATGTGTCCGGGAGTAACGATTTGTCACGCGGGGAACATGCGCGTAAATACTGCTTTCACTGACAATACCAGTGAGTCGAATTTTTAAATACTTGTCCCGCACACCATCAGCACCAACGATAAAACGGCGGCCCTTAACGACTGGGAGGCGAGAGACTGAGTGATAATTCTACCAAGTGTGCATATCTACGATGAGTGCGGGAGCTGCCACTTTTATAGGCATATTATCGTGCGGCAACTTCATCTTATAAATACTTCACTTTCTGTGGGTCAGTAGCCTTTGGTTGTTGCTGTGTCTCATAATCTGTTTGAAAAATGATACGGAGGCTCAGACAAATATATATGTATATGAACAACGGTTTGCCAGAAGGCGACAAATACCTCTTCTATTCTGAGTTCTCTCAGCAACCACCCTCCCCCTCCTTTCGCACAAACGCAGCCGCGTAAGAGCACTCTACCGACGTGTAAAACTCCTTGCACCGCGCCAGCCGACAAGAAGGCTGAGTTCCACTTCCTGCGGGAACTCTTCACCATAAACGACTAACCTGGGAATTTTGTCGAAAAGTGCAGGCGAGAAACCCTGGGAAGAGAACCGATGGGCAGCCGGGATCGAAGTGCTGGCGCGCAGTGCCGTACACAGCTGATTGTCAGAACTCGCTAGACTGACGAACGAATTTGGGATTGGCGTCGCTCACAGACCGGAAGCAACAATCCGCCGGCATCTCATGCAGCCTAAGGAACCGATTCCCATAAATCAGAAATTGGGGGTCATTTACTGGGTAGACTGCAATTATGGTCAGGCCAATTATGTTGGTGAAACTGGCAAGCAGGTTCGCACGAGATTGCACAAGCACGAGTTGGCTGTGAGATGGAAGGACAAACTCTCCTTGGTCGCCGCCCACACCTCCTCGCCGGGGCACGGCTTTGAGTTTGAATGCGTGAGAATACTGGGCCAGTCAGACGACCGAGTTGCACGCCTGCTGCAGGAAGCGTGGCACTCAAATGAGGACTCGATCAATCGACATATCGATCTGCTAATCGCTTATCAAGCACTGCGGGAACAAATCAGCAGCGCAGCTGGGCGTCATATCCGGCAGAGGTGAACTAAATATGAGATGAGTTGTGCGGTTTTTTTCCTTGACGATGGGCTCGCGTGAGAGTTCGAAACGTCGGACAAATAAACAGTTGGTCCCATCGATCGCCTTCCCGTCTTCTTCCATTCAATTACCGTGGCCTCGCGTATTCTCCATCATTAGAAATATATATAAACACGTTGCATCAGCTATTTGGTCTCCTTATTTTGAGCTGTTCGCAAAAATTGCTAGAGTTAAGCCATAAGCGTTGACCATGAAAACGTTTCTACTTACCAGTATAATGGGCTAAACGGCCTTGCTTGATTTTCAGTGGTTGACTATTGTTGTAAATAAGTACTTGCTGTGACTTGGGTAGTTTCGGTTGCCAGCTGACAGCCGAATTAGCAGGGGAGGAATAGATGATGGTGGCGATGGTGGTGGTGGCTGCGGCGGCGGCGGCGGCGGCCTGCGATTCAGTTGACTAAATTCCGTTGGTTGCAATCCAAGAAGACGGGACTGAATACATGTTGAGTAAATATCCTCCGTCAGTTGCTCGCACAGGTACCTTTTCCTCCAACTAGGAGCCAGGAAATTTTGGCATTTAAAACTGCAAAGAAACACAAGGGAAATTTTTCGCCCAAGAAATCCGGTGGAGCTAAAACTTTGTGCTCAACGTCGGCCTTTTGTGTATTGCGGGAATTTAAGTGTATAAGTTACAACTTCCTGACTTTTATTTTGGAATTTGCTGTTATTCCTAGAACCCCAGCTTGAAAACAGAACGGAGTACAGTTATAACATTCCAATTTATTTTCATGAATATATGCACACTCACAAGCATAAGCTGTTTCCGTGAAGATGCAAACGAGCAGCGAAGGCTTTGGCGATTGAGAAGTTGTTTTCTAAGTCGAAACTGGCTTGTAATAACAAATGCAGTGAACGCAACATTTGAGAAGTTTACCACCTACACTTTCAGGTAATTTTCACGCCAGGCTAAATTTCTGGCAAGTGTTCAAACGTCTAGCTGGCTGAAAATTTGTTTATGCAACCCAAGGTCATTACCCAACAATACCCAGACACGATGGACGACT